ATGCTGCTGGTGCCCTGTCACAGACTTGAGCCCACCACCGCGATGTCTGAGACCACAAAACCCACTGCTCCCGGACAGGCTGCAGAGGAGAAGGAGAAGGCAGTTCCTGCGCCAACTCCATCCCTTGACCCTGCTCCTGTCGCAAACAGCAAGGGCGAGGAGCCCTCCCCAGAAGCCTTCAGGGTAAGCCCCATGGCTCCCCACGCGCAGGACACACTCCGGGGCTGCGGGACAGTGGCAGCATCTCTGGGGCAGGAGGAGATCATCCCACAGGGAAGGACCTCCCTCCCAGAGCAGGATGTGAGCGCAGGTGCCACCATCCCTCCCTGCTCTGTCCCTCTGGCACAGGCACAGGATTTGGGCAATGGCTGCAGGAGGGACACTCTGGGAGTCCCTTGGTCAGGACAGCTCATCAGTGACCATTGGGGACCACAGGCTTTGGAATTGTTGGCATCAGGGTTGTGGCATCAGGACTGGCTGCTGCCAACTGCTCCCTCTGGTCACCCTCTGCATGTGGGGGTTCTGTGGTGCTCAGGGAGGGTGGAGGGGACACTGTGGGTGACAGGGCCAGCACTGAAATGCTGCAGTGATTCTAGGGCAGAATGCCACCGAGGCACTGCAGCAGGGCTGGGGATGAGGGGCAGGTGATGCAAGGACTGTGGTGACACTGTGCATGTGCCAGGTAGCAAAGGCCAAGGCATGGATGCAGCTCTGGAAGAAGCAGCTCCTTCCCAGCAACCTGGGCACCGGCACAGGGAGATGTGGCTTTGCAGCATCAAAAATGGGAGCTGAATGAGGCCATCTTGGACCAGGGACAGCTGTCAGGCGGGACCTTCCCGTGTTCAGTCTGTGCTGGGACAGAGCTGCTCATACACAGAGCCCAGCTCGGCTTGCCTGGGCACCAGACCTGAAAAGCTGCAGGAAGGCTTGGAGAGCCGAGGAGGACACGTGGGGCAGTAGGCTCATGTGTGCAGGGTCGTGCAGGGACACAGAGCACCACCCTGCTCTCCCTGAGCATGCCTGTCCCCATCTGACCCTTTTCCTGTACCCCTAGATCGTCGTCTTTGACCAGGAGAACTTCCAGGGCAGGCAGATGGAGTTCACCGCCGAGTGCCTGAACCTGGCTGACCGCGGCTTCGACCGGGTGCGCAGTGTCATTGTCATCTCTGGACCGTAAGTGACCCCAGCCACAGAGGGGACCGTGTCCCTGGGGATGCCCCAAGGGGGTGGGAACACAGCCCTGGGCACAATGTGGCATACAAGGGCATTTCCCTGCAACCTGGGCAGAGTGGCGGAGGGCCAGCACAGGAGCAGGGTGGGGGTCCTGGATCTCCTTCAAGGGGGGCAAGAGGGCCAGGGTGGGTGGGAAGGATGCCAGGGCCACCTGCAAAGCAAAGGGCACCAGAGACAAAGCCAAGTGCTGAAGAAAGGTGTCCACCTGGACACGTGGAGCTGTCCATGGAATGCAAGGAACCTGAGGATTTTACAGAAGCCAAGGTGAAATGAGGTGGGAGCCTTGGACCGAGCTGGTGGTCTGTGCCACCATGGAGACAAGGCTGGAGTGGGCAAGGACAGGCAGGGATGGGTAGGCAGACTCACACGCCTGCCTGCACCCAGGCAGGCGAGCAGTGACAATGGGGCTGGGCAGGTCTGAAAGCCATGGGAACAGTTGACACAGGCAGGGACATAAACGATCCCCAAAGCAGATAACTGAACAGACAGATGATCTCCATGTTGAAAGAGCATCCCTCCGCACTGTGCCTGGCTGGAAATGGTGTGCTGGGAGGGCAGGGGGGCTAGCAGGGCTTTAAGCAGGATGCACAGGACACAGCTTGCCCTGACACCGGCCCTGAGGGATCAGGACAGTGACCTGTGGTCACCTTGAATGACACCATGTAGCACCAATGACTTTTTTATTAGGAACCCAGAATGCCCAACTCTTCTTGAAATGAAAGGGGGATGGAGAAGCCTGGAAGGAGCTCAGGTGTCACACCTGGGAAGCTGCACTAGATATAAAGGGTTAAACTGGGTGAACAGAGAACTTAGGTATCATTGGGGCCCATGGAGGCTTCTTGAGAGTCACTGGTGAGATTCTGTGCCTAAAAATGTGCTTAAGGAAAGAGAAAAACAAAATCAACCAAGCTGAGCCTTAGAAGCCAGTGTGAGGACATGCTGCTGGGGGTACCTGAATGTCTCCTGCCAGTGGGAAAACACCTGTTGGCATTAGCAGGAAGAGCCCTGTTTTGCAGGGAAATGGGAAGCAGCAAATGCAGGGCTGTTGTGGTGCCGGGGGCTTCTGAGGTCCGAGGCCCATGACATTCACAGCACTGCAGCACCTCGTGGCACTGCTAAAGAGGTGACATTGCAGCTGAGCAAGCCCCGTGCCCCAGCAGTGGGCCGGGTGCCAGCGCTGGCTGGCGCTGGTGCAGTGAGGCGTGCGAGCGTGCCAGGATTAGACAGCCTGGGCAGCCCGGGCCTGGGGCTACGGGAGGGAAAACAGAGTCCTGAAATGCCTCTGTGGTGTGTAGCGTGTGGGGATCACCAGTTGCCTGGGGGTCCCACTGCTCCTCAGCTGAGGAAGGGGTGCAGCTGCAGGTTTGGACACACACACCACTGAGCTTCCAGCCAAGAGCCCTCACCTCTGCTTCACATCAGCACCAGCTCTGCACAGACCATATTGCCTGGGCTGGGAGAAAGGTTGGAGCAGGGTGGTGGGGCCACTCCTGGTACCCGCAGCCTTTTTGGGTGCTGGGAGTCCTCTCCAGCACTCCACAGGCTGGCAGAGCAGGAGGGAAGCTGCAGGGTGGCATCTGACCTGCCATTTTCCCACCCTTCTCCCCAGCTGGGTGGCCTACGAGCAGGCCAACATGCGTGGGGAGATGTTCATCCTGGAGAAGGGCGAGTACCCTCGCTGGGACACCTGGTCCAGCAGCTACCGGAGCGACTGCTTCATGTCCATGCGCCCCATCAAAATGGTGAGTGCTTGGGAGCAGGAAGCACCTGCTGGTGCCAGGGCAGGACTGTGCTGCTCGGTGCCTTGCTGCAGCAGCTCCAGGGCTTCAGCCATGCGGGCCAACACCTTCCCTCTGTCTTCCCCAGGAGGCTGAGGACCACAAAATCTCCCTCTACGAGTCTGCTGACTTCAAGGGCAACAAGATGGAAATCCAGGAGGACGATGTGCCCAGCCTCTGGGCTTATGGTTTCTGCGACCGTGTGGGCAGCGTGCAGGTGCCCAGTGGAACGTAAGCCAGGCTGCAGTGGCAGCTGCCTTGTATCAGGCTCCCTGTCCTCCCCTGTGCCTCGATCCACTGCTGCTGCTCTGAGCACCCACACGGGGCTCTCAGGCAGCCAGAAAGCACCACGTGGCTGTTTTTGGTGGTGTGGCCCATCACCCAGGGTTGTGACCAGCACAGGGAGGCAGGAGGGCTCTGTCGGCTCCTTGAGTGTGTGCCGGCCGTGGCGCTGCTGCGTGTAACAGCTGAGCCCGCTCAGGTGCCCTGTCTTTGCTTTCCCTGCAGCTGGGTCGGGTACCAGTACCCTGGCTACAGAGGCTACCAGTACCTCTTTGAGACCGGAGACTTCCGACACTGGAATGAGTGGTCTGCCTTCCAGCCCCAGATCCAGTCCATCCGCCGCATCCGGGACATGCAGTGGGACCAGAAGGGCACCTTCGTCACCCCCGACGCGCCCTCTGACTGAGCGTGCCGCCTGCTAGCTACGAGTCCCGGGCCCCGTGGGGCACCCCCGCCTCCCCTCGCGCTCGCCTGCCCAGCACTTTCCTTGTACATTGCACATTCCCTGGATGTACTCTACCTTGTGAGGCAAATTAAAAAACCAGAAGATTAGAGCTGCTCGGGGGTCGGTGGTGCATGAGCGCGGCCGCGGGACACTCTGCCTTCCTGGCCTGTGCCAGCCCTGTGCTGGAGCCGGGTGGGACATGGTGCCAGGGTGGTTTTCCCAGGGGAATTGCTCCCCATGCTGTTGCTGGGACATGGGAGACCCTCCGTGTGGAGGAAAAGAGGTGGTGTGGGAAAGGGCAGGAGGCTCCTCAACCGGACCCCCTCAGCACCCGTGGGGATCGTCCCGGCTGGGGGGACTCAGGGCACCTCCAGAGCACTCGGACCATGGAGGGCTGCGGGCTCCGTCCGTGCGGCAGGACGGGGGGCTGCAGGCCCGCCGGTGGGATCCACCTGGGAACTAATTAACAGCCGTAACTGCGGTCAGTCAAAGACCAATTCACTCCCAATGAGTTTTTATTCCCCTCGGACGCTGTCGCTCCGCACCGGGCGCTTCCTCAGCCTCATTCCCCCTTTCCCATCCCGTCCGGGCACCTCGGGTGGCGTTTTCCTGCGCTCCCACGCCGCTCATTAGCGACGGCGGTGATTAATTACAGCGATAGCAGTGACGGCAGCGCTGGCACAGGCAGCAGCACCGGGGCCGGGGGTGACGGCGCAGCTGCGGAGAGCGCGGTCCGGGGCTCTCCCGGGCCCGGGACCCCGCAGGACTGGGGGGCCACGGCCGGTACCGGCACTGCCACCGGCACGGGCACGGGCCCGCGCTCCCGCGTGCCGCCCGCGTGTCCCGGGCACGCGCACACAAACCCACGAGCACACGCCCGCGCGCTCCCGGTGCCGCCCGGTGCCTGGGGCGCGCGGCGCACGCGCGGTGCGGCGCGCGGGGATCCCGGCCCCTCGTGCGCGTGACGTCGCCGCGTCTCGCGCCGCTCCGGGCCGGCGGCGGCCCCGGTGAGTGGAGCGGGGGGGGGGGGCACCGGGGAACGGGGGGACGGGGGATCGGCCCCGCCCCGCCCCGCCCCGGCCCCGTGTGTGTCACCCCGGCCGGCAGGTGACAGCGGCGGGGCTGCGCGGCGGGCGGTGCGCGGTACTCGGTACCGGCGGGCGGTGCGGGCAGCGCGGGCAGGGCTCGGGGCTCGGTGGGTGGCGGAGTGGCGGGGGATGCTCGGTGCGCAGTGCGAGGGGTGCGCGGGTGCACAGAGCGGTGCTCGGAACGGTACTCGGTGCACCGTACTGGGTGCTCCGAACGGTGCAAGGTGCCCGGTGCAGGATGCTCGGCGCTGGGTGCACGGAGCGGTGCTCGATGCTCAGAGCAGTGCAGAGTGCTCAGTGCGGGGTGCTCAGAGTGGTGCAGGGTGTTCGGTGCTGGGTACACAGAGCAGTGGCCGGTGCAGGGTGTTCCATGCTGGGTTCACGGTGCTGGGTGCTGGGAGCAGGATGCTCCGTGCTGGGTTCACGGGGTGGTGCTGGGTGCTGGGTGCAGGGTAAGTTCTGTGCAGTGCAGGATGTGCTGAGAGTGCTGCAGGGTGCTTGGTGCACGGTGCAGGATACATGGCAGGTGCCACAGGGTGCTCAGCACAGGGTGCTCCTTGTGCCTTTCTCCCCTTGTTCCTGCTATCTGGCACCCACTCCCCATGCCCCTGCTCCCCTGGCACCTTCCTGGCAGCCCAGCATCAGCCCGGCCATGCCCCCCATAACCCAAGCATCACCATACAGAAGGGCATCCATAGGCAGGGACTGTCCATCCATCCGGGTGTCCAGAGCTGAACTGGTGTCAGCGCTGCCCTCCCCTGCCAGGGTGAGTGTGGTGGCCCGTGCTGCAGTCAGCTGAGCAGGTGAGTGTTGGGGGCAACCTGCACCTTCGGGTCTTGGTCAGCATCAGCGTCTGCTGTTGGCACCAGAGATGTTTGCAGTGCTGAGGCCGGGGTGGCCGTGGGGTGCAGATCCCTTGGCAAAGGGGGTGCAGGTGGGTGCCCAAGTGGCTGCGTTGGCACCATGCAGCCCATCCAAAACACTGACACTGTCCTTGGCTGTGCCCATCTGTCACTTGCCCTGTGTGGCAGGGATGTGACATCCACGCTGTGTCCATAGCAAGGTCAAATTCCTTGGGACTCGTGGCTGGAGTTGCCATCCCAGCACTGTTGGCAGTGTGTCCCAGGATGGGCTGCGTGAGCTGGGCTGATGTCCTCCATGGGCAAAGGGGGGTTTGCATCACACAGACCTTTGCTCTGACCCTTGATGTGTTTGTTTGCACACTCAGGCTCTGTCCAAAAAACATCTCACAGCTTGAAACCCCTTAACTTGCCTCCCTTTGCCAGTCAGAGCCACCCTGCCAGCTGCTTGGGTGCACTGTGGGGTGGCAAGTCCCCCCTTGGCACAGTAGTGCTGCTCCCTTCTGCTCAGGCACCAAGCAAGGGTGAGTGCAGAGCTCAAAATGATTGGTGCTAACAGGTTTCCAAATTTGCCGTTGCTTTTCTGGGAACGGTGCAGCGTGCTCGTGGGGAGCTGTCAAGTGCCAACGCAGGTTCCTGTGAGCAGGGTTTGCCATCCTGTGCCTGGTGGCAGCTGATGCTCGGTGGCTGCTGCGTGAGGCGTGGCAGGAGCAGCCGTGCTGTGGTGCCCACAGGGAGCTGAGGGTCTGTGGGGGGCTTACACAGGGAGGGCAGCAGCTGAGCTGGGGACCATATGGGTCCTTCCCAGCGTCACCTGCAGCAACTGGAATTGGAGGGGCATCACTGTGCAGAGTTGTGCCCTCCACACTGGTGAGATGTGCCAGGCCAGGGGGTGGGAGCTGCCGTGGGGTCTCCGCAGGACACTGATGGACTCACCAGGACAGGCAGGCCCAGGCCACTGCCATGCTCTGGCTGTAGTTTTTACAAACTGTATTAGTAATTTCTGTTGCTATTTTAAGGAGATTTTTCCAAAGGCAGTTTGCATTACGGATACGCTGAGCCTTCAGGGATGTGTGGGATGGCAGGAGTGCTGTTAAAATGCAGGGACTGTCAAGCAGATTTTTGGAGAGAGAAAACAAACCCCAGCAGGTGGTTTTATTTGGCACCCTACAGATGCGCCTTCTGATGAATTTGTGATGCCTTGAGGAACCTCAGCCTTGTGCCTCAGCCAGGCGTGTTTCCCTTTGGATTCTGCAGGCAGCGAGTGTGCGGAACATGGGAGAAGCTTGCCATAGTGTTGGCTGCCTGCTTTGGTTCACAATGTTGTTCAGGCCTCTAGTTCTGCAGTTCTAAACACCTGTCTGCCTCCAATTCTGCAGCAATTCTCTCACAGAAATCCTGTCTCAAGGAGAATAATACATTTTTTTCCCCCTTTTCATCTCCAGTCCATCCTGTGCTGGCCTCATGGCGCAGGCAGGAGGGTGTGCTGGGACTGGCCCTGCTGAGGAGCCTTTTGTCCCCTCACAGGGACAGCAAACAAGAACAGCAGCAGGGGATTGCTCAACCCACAGTGCTCGGAAGTGAAGCAAGTGGCTGGTTCCCATCGTGCATTCCCAGGCCAGTGACCCCAAACTGAGACCGGGGACTCCACAGGTGGTTGCAGCGTCCAGATGCTTCTCCATGGACAAGTGACCATGGGTGTTTTAACTCCAGAGCCGCTGCAGCCCGCAGGCTGCTCTGGTGGGGCAGGGGGAAGCAACCGGGGTTTTTCCAATGCTCCTGTTCCTGCTCAGTGCTGGGATGGATCCTGTGGTGTGAGTGGCTGTTCCTGGCAGTGGCTGAGCTGCAAGGGGGTTGGGAGAGCAGCTGGTCCCCCTGGCAGCTGTACTCACAGCTGGCTGCAGGCCAGCGGGGCTGGGTGGCATCCAAGGGAAGGGCACCGAGCAGGGGAAGGGCACCAAGCACAAAGCCATGGTGGCCCAGCATTTGCAGATGCAAGTGGCAGCAGAGGACCAGGGCTCACAGCTGGGCTCCTGCAGGCAGGAAAGCACTCGGATGTGCCGTGCAGGGTGGTTTGGCTGACAGTCAGCAGCCATGCAGTCTCGGAAGGATTTGGTTCCATTTCTTCCTTCCATGGTTTCACAAGGGCTACTCCCGTGCCGGGGCTTGGTGGGGTTCATTTCCTGTCCTTGCTGGGGCTATGCCAGCACACAGGCTTGGGTTGCCGGTGCTTCCCAAAGTTTCTGGCTTTGTGGAAACGCCAAGTGCTTGCCCTTGTGGCATCCGTTGTACCGAGGCCGTCTGGGCCTCAGTGGAGATCCTGGGCCTGGTCCATGCTCAGGGTTCCTGAGGCCTCGAGCTGCAGGAAATGGGACAAGGGTGAGCAGAGGGGCTGGCAGAGATGAGGTACAGCCGTGTCCCCTCTCCCCTCACTGCCCATGATGAGCAGTGGCCCCTTCGTCCTCCCTGCCCTCCCCTCAGACAGTGCCTCCAGTACTGGGGCTGCCGCTGCTGCTCCTGCATGGGGAAATAAACCACTTTGATTTTGTTTCTTAAGCAAATTTGAGGTTTTGGGGTTTCTCTTGCAGAAACAACTTTTTATTTGCAAATCCTGATCCTTGTGCGTGCAAGAATAGAGCTTGTTGAGACTTAGGGTTTGGCCTGTGGATTGGGAAAATATTTTTTGAAGATACTTACTGTTTTTTCTAGCAGTTCCTCTGATTTCTCTCTCTCCCTATTGTATGGCAGGCTCTGACCACCCACATTCCCACAGGGAATCTTTGTGCAGTTGTGGGAGGGAAGAGTTGTGTTTGCATTGGGCATGGTGAGTGAACACAGGGGCTGCAACCTCCAGTTCCCATCGCCCTATGCCTCTCTCGTTTGGGGATCCCTGGGGCATACCCTGGCCCTGGGGTGGGAGTTGGAGGGACCTGGTCAGAGGCATGGGGAGGGCTCATGGAACCATCACAGAATTATGGAATGGTTTGGGTTGGAAGGGACCTTAAAGATCTTCTAGTTCCAACCCTCTGCCATGGGCAGGGACACCTTCCACTAGAGCAGGTTGCCCAGAGCTCCATCCAGCCTGGCCTTGAACACTTCCAGGGCTGGGGCATGCACAACTTCTCTGGGCAAGGGGAACAGGAGGACAGCTCTGTGTCTCCTGAGAGCCCCCTCATCCAGCTCTGAGCAGGGAGCAGGATGGTGAGCTCCTGGGTCAGGGCACAAGGGAAGCCAGCAAGGGAACATCTCTCTGGCTGCAGCTTCGCTGCAGTGGCACCTGCGCTGGCTTTGCCTTTGTCCCCCCTGAGGCAGCGACTGCAGAGTAATTAAGGAAAGGTGAAGCTCTGTGGGTTGATTAAAAGTCAGGAGCTCCCTCCAAAGCACAGAGCTCATGTCCTGTTTCGGCACAGGCACTTCTGACATGGAGATGGAGCTGATCTGGTGGCTCCATCCATCACTGGGAGGTCACAGACACCCCTCCTGCTCTGGTCCCCATCCCTCACAGCCCGCAGCATGGAGTGGGGGGCTCTCCCTTCCCCTCCTGTCCCCCCTCACTCGTCTCAGTTCTTCCAGCAGCAGCTCTGCCTCCCCACCCTGCTCCTTGAGCTAAGGGGAGACGTGTCAAGCCCCTTCCCCTGGCTTTGCTGGAGCCTTGCTGGGGCATGGTGGGCATGGAGCCAGGTGCTGGGTAGGTGCCTCCATGCCCAGCTCCTGCCAGCAGCTTTCACTTTGGGCGTTCCATAATTAATCAGCCACTTTGGGCCGAGGGCCATTGCTGTCCGGGGTTGCCGGGGTGGATGCTGCGGTTTCCATCACCGGACCATAAAATGCCATCACTGTGCTTGGAACGAGGGACGGGCGGAGGGAAGATTCTGTAAATTGGTGGGATTTTTATTGTTTGAGGAACACTGTAGCATTGAGCGGGATAATAAAATGTTTTGCTAATCATAACAGCCTTGAGGCGATAAACCAGCCGTCCATTTGTGCTGTGAAATGTCTGTGGATTCTTTGCTGATGTGATTTAGAGCCTGTTGGAGCCAGCTGGTGCACTGTGTCTGTATCCCTGGCCGGGCTCTCTGGGATGGAGTGCTGGGGTGCTCAGCTGGAATCCATGGTGTGGCTCAGGGCTCTCACCTCTCAGGCTTTTCCAAATGAGAAAGCCAGTATTCGAAAGTGGTACACACTGCCTTAATCCTCAGGGCATCGGATTCTACTGGTTTGTTTTTCTAGGTACCCAGCAGTGAGAATAAATTCCTCCTTCCCTTCTGAGCCGGTTGTGTGCTAAAATGCAGCTGGAGCACCCTCTGTGTGATTTGGGTGCTTGAACACTTATCCTTGCTGACTTTTGACTGTTTCTTTCAGTTTTATTTGGGATTTTTTTGGATTTTATGGTTTTTGTTGGCGGTGCAAATGCAAACCACAGTGCTGCTAGTGCTATTTGGGGATTTTCCAAGGGACACAGAACCCTGAAGTGCTCTGAACTCCCAGTGTTTTTACTGTGATTGGCCTCTGGTTCTGGTGGATGTTCTGGGTTCATGGCCTGCAGTGCATTTTCAGCTTTAGTCACCAAACCTGTCCTGCTGTTGGCGGTGCTGCTTTCGCCACGTGGTGGCTGAAAGCAGCTTCTTTTGTTGTTGTGGGGTTTTTTTTTTTGAGTGCTGCAGCTTAATTTTGTGCGTATCAAAGTGGCTCTGAGGCTCCAGCTGTGGTTCGCCTGCAGCAGAGGTGGGTGCAGAGCCCCTGTTCCACTGCCAGCGCTGCAGCATCGATCGGGGTGGGCAGGTTGGACCCTGCTCGCTCCAGATGGCTGTCCCACGGGACCAATCCCGATCCATGCCATGCTGGGGCGGATGAGCACGCGTCGGGGGTTGTGCAATGGGGCTGACGCTGCACTCGGCGACCGCAGCCGCCCCCGCGGTGCCTCCGTGGGCACCCGGCGGGGATCAGGGCTGTCCCGTGCTCGCTGTGTCCCGGAGCTGCTCATCAGAGTGGGTGAATGCTTTGAAATTTGTTGATCAGCTTTTGTTCGGGCTGCCTGGAAGCAGATGGAGAGACGCCCCATATGTCTGTGTGCCAGCAGTGCCAGCAGCCTGTCCCTTCCTGCTGCGCGCCCGCAGCCCCCGACAGCTCTTCCCGGCTTTTTCCTCCCGGAGGCTTGACCGCTCTGCTGTTTGCTGCTGCCTCCTCCAAGCAGGATGGGAGTATCCCTGTCCAGCTAAGGGAGGTACCTGGGAATCATCAGGTGTTTTGAAAAGGGATGTTGCCACCAGGCAGGGAACAGGAGGAAAAGGGCTGCCGTCATGGCCACCACTTGGCAGTGACAGGGTTGGGCTGAGCTCAGGTTGTGATAAAGCAGTTGTCCTCAGGCAAGCTGTGTTTATTTTTGTAAATGAACTGTAGACTACTAATTAAGTAATTAAATATTGCTGATTTGTAAAGATGCGAGTTGGATATATTAGGACATTTCTTGCTGACCACAGTTCCTGCTGCTGTTCCGCCACAAAGGCGCCTCCAGTTCCTCATCCTTTTATTAAGCACCAACAAATTGAGCTCAAATTTTCCAGGCCACACCTACGTCTTTTGGGGAAGCTGCAGTTAGTGACAATCATTTCTGGGAATGTTTTAAAGAAAAATGCAGCTTCTGATCATATGGAGCTTGTTGTAGACACTGTTTTTGCGGTTGTTTTCACACTTTAAAAAATGGGGTCGATGTTGTTTCATCACTGCAGGTGGTGCTGGGCCTGGCGGTGCTGGCACACGGGGCTGTTCCTGGTGCTGCTGGTGGTTTACCCGTTCCCACCGCAGGTGCTGGGTCATGAGGCTGTGGTTGCTCAGAGCTCCGTGCTGGAGCCCGGCTGGCAGTGACACCCTGCGCAGTGTCAGGAAGGAAGTCAGCAAGCGAGTGCATGTCCGTGTGTCTGTCTGTGTGTGTCTGTGCACGGTCAGGAGCTGGAGCTGTTTCCGGAGCGAGGAGTCTTGGGGTGGGCTGTTAAACTGCTGCTGTTCCCTGATCCAGAGCATTTGTGGCACTGCAGAATTGCATCCAGGGATGCAGATGCTGCTCCGTGGGCGTGCAGCCTCGTCCAGAGCTGAAATCCTGTGGTCCATGGAGGCCAGGCCAGGATTGAGCAGGAAGCCTGGCAGGGAAGAAGGGCAGCATGTGCACTGCGGATAAGGCCTCCCGAGTTCATGCTGGGTGGAGTTTCCCTCTGGTTTCTCGTTGGTGCTGAAGCAGAGGGGCCGGTGACACTCGATGGCAGGAGAGGAGGAGACTTGGGTGTCTGGAATAGCAATTAGGGTCTGTCCTTGAAATGTTCTAAAAAACATCCTCTGAGGCTGGGACACTGTCATGTATTGAGGGGCAGCTGACTGGGAAGGGCCAGGTGGCAGCAGCCCTATGACAAGCCAGCACCCTGTGCACCCACTGTGATCCTTGGAGCAGAGTGACATCCTCCCATCCCGCTGGGTCCGGCCCCTCGGGGTGCTCTGCTGCAGCGCAGGGACTCTGAGCTGTCCCTGGGATGTGCCTGCAGGGTGGCTCCAGCCAAGGTGCTGCAGGTGGCTGCCGGGCTCCCCGGGGAGGGGGCACTCCCTGTGGTGCAGTTGCCATGTCCTTGTGGGAAACCTGGTGTACAGGGGTTCGGCTCCCTACCTGGAGGGATTTGTGTGCTCTGAGGGGCTGGTGCTGCTGCCTTGGGGGGTGGTGAGGCTGGAGAGAGCTTTGTTCCTTGGGCTGGAGCCGGGAGGTCCTGGCAGCATGGGCAGTTCCTGGTGCCAGGGCTTTGCTGGGACCACCTTTCCCTGGGAGGGACAAGAGGGAGGCTGTGGGCGGGAGTGGAAGGTGCCAAGGAGGAGAGCACATATGTGCAATAAATAAATCAACATTATGGCTTCTCTTCCCCATCAGGTGTTCTGGAGGTTGCAGCATGAAGCTCGGCTAGCAGCAAAATGACCTTATGGGGGCAAGGTAAGCACACATGGGTTATTGATTCCCCTGGGATGCTGGGTGAATGTTTCAGGTCTGTCCACACCAGCACTGGTGCCCTATGAATACTATGTTGCCTTCACAAGCTGACAGGAGGTGGTGTAAGCCTTGTTCATGCTAATGGTCCATCAGCATGTGAATAGGGAAGGCTCTGTGCCTGTAGGACCTCTTGTCACTCTGCTGTCACTTCCCTGCTGGTTCCCATCCTCCCCCATGCTCTGGGTGCTAGCCTTGCCCTGATGGTGGTGAGGGATGGAGCCCCTGGCTGTGGGTCACAGCCCTTCCCTGTCCTATGGTGTCCAAGCTGCACTCAGGGGGCTTCAGCCTGGAGTTGGCTGCTGGTACTTTGATTTCTGCTCCTGTGTCTCCAGTGCCTGCCATGATGTGCTAGAGAAGCCCCCGAGAGCTCCCTAATTCCTGCTGGAGTGAGAAGCTCTCAGAGCCAGCTTGGACATCTGAACGACTGTTGTCTCTGGAAGGGTTGTCTTTGATCAGACAGCTATGTGCCTAATTATGCCATGATTCCACCACAGTGTCTGCTCTGGAGGAAATGACCTATCCCTCTTCCCTCACAGACTAATGAGCCCCATATATTTTAGGAAATTCTTAGCAGAGAATTGCACAAAGAGTTGAGAGCGAGCCAGGCTGTTTGCGGTTGCTCCCAGCCTGCTGCCAGACATGCTTGTGGGTATTGTTCAGCCCACCTGGCACACCGGGATGATCCCACTGGAGAAGTTTGTTCCATTTCAGCCCTCCCAGGGCCTGTGACTGCCATGCAGGAGCAGAGGTAGAGTCCCAGAGCACAACTGTGAGGAGAAGCCGTGCTCCTGTGGGCAGCTTCCTTTCCTGCTGCTTCATGGATTGAGAGCTTCCCCACACTGGTGGTGTTGGATGGGAGTGGGGGGGCTGTGTCCCTGCCCACCAGACAGGCAGGACAGTCCCCAGGCATGCAGAATCATTTAGGTTGCAAAAGACTTTCAGGATCATTGAGTCCAACCTGTGACCCATCATCACCTTGTAAACCAGACCAGAGCACTGAGTGCCACATCCAGTCATTCCTTGGACACCTCTGGGGATGGGGGCTCCACCCTGAGCAGCCCATTCCAGTGCTTGACCACCTTTTCTGTAATGAAATTCCTCGTGATGTCCAACCTGAACCCCCCCGGCACAGCTCAAGGCCGTGTCCTGCTTGTGGTGCTGGTACCGCAGCCCCCAGCACTCAACATGAGCACATGAGTGAGTCCCTTTGTTCCCTATGCGGCTCAGATGAAGCTGCTGGAGCATCTCGGTGGGAACTGCTCCCTGTCAGCTGTTTTTTGGGAGAACAGAGTACTTCTGTGCTCCAGCCTCCTTTCACACTGCAGCCTTTCCTGCTAATTAGCCTGTCTTGGTCTGCATCACCCTAATTATTCCGGTTGGCCCTAAATCCTGCAATCCACTGCCATCCTTTGAAATGGGTCTTGTGGCATTTGCAATTATTTTTGGGTGAACATTTGAATATATTTACATGACTGAAACAGATGAAGATAGCAGGAAGGAGCAACACTTGCCTTGTTAATGGCTCTGACTCTGATTGGTGCTGCAAAAATACCGGGGCTGTCGGGTATCCCTCTGATCTACATCCCGCTTTTATCTGAGACCTGGGGATGCAGTTGAGACTGTTTAACCTGGGTATGTCACTGAGCAGCTGGCCAAGATGGACCGGGTAGTAAAGAGCCACAAAAATAGTTTGGTGGTGATGTTACTGTGCTGCTGGGCCGGGAAAGTGTGTCCCTGGGCTGGGGAAGGGTGTCCCTGGGCTGGCACAGGGGCTCTGCCTGGGCAGAAGTGGATAAAAACCGAGTGGGCGGATGGGAACAGTGGAGTGGGATGTCAGGGGCTGGAAGGGGGGAGCAGAGCAAGTCCCCAAGTGCTTGGAAGGGAGGGCAGGGGCAGGGAGGCTGCCAGGCTCCGGGCTCTTTCCCTGCTCTGCACGGGCTGCTGCGCAGTGTGCTCCTTCGGGGAAAGAGTCGACAGGAGAAAACACTTTTCTGGAGCAGTTCTTTGGCCTGTCAGCAAAACAGAATGCACGGACGGCCCGTTCCTTCCACTCCATTCAGCTCCCGCCCCAGCCACATAATCACAAAGGACTGGAAATCCCGGGGTGAGCCCAGGGTAGGATTGCAAAACCTGCACTCGCAACTGGGGCGGATGGGGGGAGGGGGTGGGAAGCGGTGCCAGCCTTCCCGGGAGTCCCTCTGGGCACGCAGCAGAGCTGGGCACACTCGCAGAGGCTGCAGCCTTCCTGCTGGATGTCCTACCGAGCCCTGGAAAACCCAAAGAGTCTTTGTGCCAGATGAAGTTTCAAGGATTTCTCTGTCAGGTCAGTCTCCGGAGGCAGGGCAGGGTGTTGAACACTGTGTGTAGCTGTTCACTGTCAGATGGTTGAGTTTCTCAGTGTTTCATTCTAACGGCTTCTCCTGACTCAGACACTTAAGATTTGCATGAGAGGCATTTGTTTTTCTCTTATTTCGGCTTCCCCCTCCCTTTTGACCGCAGGGTTAAACTAAAGAAAATGTAGGAAGGAGGCAGGTGGCTGAGATGTGAGCAGTGGTGGAGTGCTGACTCGGGTTTGGGAGGAATAACTTTAGGGAGGGTTTGGGCTTCATCTGGGATGCAACAGGCTCTCTGTAAAGATTTTCTTTAAGGACTCAGTGGGTATACATGGCCCCTCCTCTCCAAAACATTCCTGGAGCTTTGCTCCAGCTGTAAACCTGTGTTTCTGGGAACACAAACAGCACAGAAATTGTATCTTTGGGTGTGCACTGACAGAGACTTTAATTACCTGCTGGGTGGAAGGCACCGAGTCTGGGAGTTGCTGATAAGTGAAGGAGATGATGAAATCCTGGATGGTGTCAGCATCCCGCTGGAGCCAGGCTGGATTCTGGGCTGGAGTGTGGGTCCTGTTCCTCTGACCATGCCATTTCTCTTGCAGATGCCCATGGAGTTGGACACTCGCTAGCTGAGAGCTGAAGTCCCCAGCCTGTGCCTAGGAGAGCAGAATGCGGGTCACTATGCGGAGGGTGCTGCTGGTGCTGGGCTCGGTGGCCGCCTTGATGGTGACTCTGCACCTCGGCCATCAGGTTCTGGAGTGCCAGCAGGTCCTGAGCGAGAGGAGGCACAGGCTGATGAGACCCGAGAACGAGGAGCTGGTCATGATGGATGCCAACCACGTCGAGTACCGTTACAGCAAGGACATGCCCCTGATCTTCATCGGGGGGGTCCCACGCAGCGGCACCACGCTCATGAGGGCCATGCTGGACGCCCACCCCGAGGTGCGCTGCGGGGAGGAGACCCGCATCATCCCCCGCGTGCTGGCCATGCGCCAGGCCTGGTCCAAGTCCGGGCGGGAGAAGATGCGCCTGGACGAGGCGGGGGTGACGGACCAGGTCCTGGACGCCGCCATGCAGGCCTTCATCCTGGAAGTGATCGCCAAGCACGGCGAGCCCGCCAGGTACTTGTGCAACAAGGACCCTTTCACGCTCAAGTCCTCTGTCTACCTGTCCAGGCTGTTCCCCAATTCCAAATTCCTCCTGATGGTGCGGGACGGCCGGGCCTCAGTGCACTCCATGATCACACGGAAAGTGACGATCGCGGGCTTTGACCTGAACAGCTACCGGGACTGCCTGACCAAGTGGAACAAAGCCATCGAGGTGATGTACTCCCAGTGCCTGGAGGTCGGCCGGGCCCGCTGCCTGCCCGTCTACTACGAGCAGCTGGTGCTGCACCCCGAGCAGTCCATGCACAACATCATGAAGTTCCTGGACATCTCCTGGAGCAACACGGTGCTGCACCATGAGGAGCTCATTGGGAAGCCCGGCGGGGTGTCGCTTTCCAAGTGAGTCTCAGCTCCTTCCTCCGCTTTTCAAGAAGCATTTACATTACACGATTCAGGTCAAGGCTAAAACTGGGGGCAAAGCTGCGTTGCTGGTGTTTGTGTGTGATTTTTGGGGGCAGAAGGAGCAACACATCATTTTACTGCAGTAGGGTTTGTGTTTCTGAGTAAGAGATGGCTTTAATGCTCCCAATCTGTTGTACTACACAGAGCAGCTTGTCAAGCAAGGATTTCAGGAGCAGGTGACTGTTTAATCTCTCTTGACACTGCAGAAATTATTTCAGTCTCTAATTTGGAAAGAACTGCTTGCTCTGAAACGTGAGCTCTTTAATGCCTCTTTCTCTACCCGTCCTCAGATGCCTCCTCAGTGTGATTAGTTGTACTGCTAACGATGATGAGCAGCAGTTCTTGCCAGGTCTGGGGCTAGTATTGCAGAATCAAAGCAATCCCTGCTCCATGGAGGCACACCCAGCACGCCCTCCTGGCCTCTCTGTGTGTCGGGGATGTTTACCTGCTCCCACTTTCTTTTCCTCTCTTAGTGCTTTTTCTTTTCTAAGTGAAAGGCTTAAGTCAGGCTTAGCAAAATGTAATCAGCCGTGTAAGGGAATTATCCGAGTCTCCGTATCAATTGCTGGTGCCCCGGTGGTGAGGGCAGCAGGAGCCAGGGGGGATGTGCAGCTGCTCCGGTGCTCTGGGATGCTGTGGGTGTGCAGCCGGCTCTGCTTCCCTGTTTGCTCTGTGGAAATCTTGCCCAGATTCCTTAAACAGATAAGATTTTGGATTTCCCTAGAGGCCCTGTGGTGCATCTGTGCTACAGCCCACACATCTTACATTATTTTCCTGTAGTAAGGAGAGGTGTCCTGGTAACACCCTGACCCCAGTGAAGGATGAATCCCCCCTCTAGGACAAGAGGAAGCAGTCTCAAGTTGTGCTGGGAGAGATTTAGATTGGATATTTTGGAAAATTTCTTCATGGATAGAGTGGTCAGGCATTGGAACAGGTTTCCCAGGGCAGTGCTGGAGTCACTCTTGCTGAAAGTGTTCAAAGACACGTGGATGTGGTGCTTAGGGGCATGGTTAGTGGTGGCTTTGGCAATGATGGGGGAACAGCTGGAATTGATGATCTTAGAGGGATTTTCCAGCCTTAATGATTCCATGATTCTATACAGGGGGATCCCACCTCTGGGGCCGTGCAACCCCCTGCCAGGGTGTGCTCCCCCAGATCAGGGCTGTGAGGGGACAGGGTTGCCCTGGGACTGCCCCTCTGTGCCTCACCCTGGCTCTGCCTCAGGTGTGCCTGGCAGCTGATGAGTGTTTGTGTCCTGGGAGTGGAAGGGACATGCTGGGGCTGTTCAGCCTGGAGAGGAGAAGGTTGTGTAGAGACCTCACAGCACCTCCCAGGATCTGGAAGGAAGCCAGTGAGGGACTGTTCATCAGGAACTGTAGTGACAGGACAAGGGCGAATGGCTTCAATTTGAAATGGGGGAAATTTAGGTCAGATTTATGGAAGAAATCCTTCCCTGTGAGGGTGGTAAGGCCCTGGCACAGGGTGCCCAGAGAAGCTATGGCTGCCACATCCCTGGAAGTGTTCCAGGCCAGGTTGGATGGGGGTTGGTCTAGTGGAAGATGTCCCTGCCCATGGCAGAGGGGTTGGATAGGATGAGCTCTAAAGTCCCTTCCTACCCAAACCAGTCTGTGATTCGATGTTGAGGTGACAGTGAGCCTGGCTGAGGCTGTTCTGTGTGACCCCAGCACGTGTGTGAAATCCAACTTTAGTGTCTTTTGGTTTTTTTTCTTTTTTTTTCCCCCAGGATAGAAAGATCCACAGACCAGGTGATCAAGCCGGTGAACATGGAGGCGTTATCTAAATGGATCGGGCACATCCCAGGGGATGTGCTGCAGGACATGGCCCACATCGCCCCGATGCTCGCAAGGCTGGGCTACGACCCCTATGCCAACCCCCCCAACTACGGCCACCCCGACCCCCTGGTTGTCAACAACACACACAGGGTGAGTGTCACTGCCATGGGGGAGCAGAGCTGGGGGGCTCACAGAGCCCCTGGAGCAGAGGAGGCTGTTGAGCCAGGTCAGGAGAGAGCAGTGGGGAAATGGACGTAGAATCCCAGAATCACTGAGGCTGGAAAAGACCTCCAAGACCATTGAGTCCAACCTGTGCCTGATCCCCACCTTGTCACCCAGCCCAAAGCACTGAGTGACACATGGACACCTCCAGGGATGGGGACTCCACCACTTCCCTGGGCAGCTCCTTTTAATGCCTGACAACCCTTTCTGTGAAAACATTCCTCCTGATGTCCAACCTCCCCTGGCACAGCTTGAGGCCATTTCCTCTTGTCCTGTTCCTTGTTCCCTGGGAGCAGAGCCTGACCTCTCCCCCCGCTCCCCCTCCTGTCAGGGAGTTGCAGAGAGCAAGAAGGTCCCCCCGAGCCTCCTTTTCTCCAGGCTGAGCCCCCCCAGCTCTCTCAGCCACTCCTGGTGCTCCATACTCTTTCCCAGCTCCATTCCCTTTTCTGAACATGCTCCAGCACCTTGTTGTCTGTCTTGGAGTGAGGGGTCCAGACCTGGACACAGGATTTGAGGTGCAGTCTTCTCCTTGGGAAGGCTGGGAATGGCTGACAGCTCCCCCGAGATGGTTCCAGCCCAGCTGCGTGTTCCGGGTGGAGCCTGATGGGGCTCATGCTGACAGTGCTGCCGATGGTTTTGTGGTGGTGTTTGTTTGTGGTGCTGTGGCAGATCCTGACTTGTCCCTCTCTGACCCAGCCCTGCTCCTGAACCCCGGTGTGGGTGTTCCTGGTGTGTGCTGATGGTTTCTTTGGGCACTGTACCCTGGCTGGGACCTGGGATAACATTCTGGCTGTGCTATGTCTGTGTGTAGCTCCACAGCCACTCCCGTGCTCTCACCAGGAACACACGTGGAGGCTTGGAATGCCTTTGGGCAAAACCAAGAGATTTTTCCTTTTTTTTTTTAATATTGACTCATATCCCTGGAGCAGAACTGGAAGGAAAGAGCTGCAGTCCCAACCAGCAGTTAGGAGGCAGAGGGAGGTTCCCATGTTTGGGGTGGGGCTCTGCAGCCCCCCAGTTCCCTGGCACAGTGCCCATGGATGAGGTGTCCTTTGTCATGGTGGTGGGAGCAGGGTGGGACCAGTCCCCAGGGTGCTGTAGGCAGGCAGGGAAGTGGCAGCACTGACTGGGAGGTGGGAAGAGCTTCCCTGGAACTGCTCTGTGCTCCCAGCACTCTGGTCTCTCACAGCTCCTCAGTGCCTGCTGAGAGCTGTCCTGGGACATGGGTGGTTTGGGAAAACATCTGCCCTGGGCAGGGTCAGGGCCACTCTGGGTCTCTGATATGGACCTTTCAGTGTTTTTTGGATGAATTTGGAGAACTGGCATGGTGGTAAAACCAAAACATTGTCCCCTTTCAGACTAAGGGGGGAACTGGGAATTGCTTGTGTCAGTTCCCTGCTCCCTGTCTTTATAGTCAAAAAGGATGAAACCTCCCGTTTTTGCCCCAATATGACCCCATGATGTAGATCAAACTCCCATCAGGGTGTTCCACCTGGTTCAGGTGTCCTGGGACGTGGGACACATGGAATGAGGTGGATTGGCTGATGCTCGTGGAGCCACTGCCCCAGAAGGGTCACTCCAGGTTCTCTTTCCCACAGGTTTTAAAGGGGGATTATAAAACACCGGCCAATCTGAAAGGTCACCTGCAGGTAAGAGTCTGGTGTGCCCTGAGGGGTTCTGTTTTTGGGTTAATCTGGGGTGTCTGGTCCCTGGTTCCCTCCTAGGGGTGTCTGCAGGCTGAGAATGTCCCTGCTCCCTTCCCTCAGGGAACATCCCTCCTCCCTTCCCTGGGGAATGCAGATGGTGGCTCAGAGCTGACCCTTCTGTTTCTGGGTTATTTCAGGTCACTCAGAACACGTCATCTTCTCACTAAGAAAATTAATGATTTCCAGGTAAGACCCTGTTAATTTTGGGATTTGGGTGAATCTGCCCACATTGCTCCAGGATTGGCATTTGGTTTGTGTAATTTCTGTGGATTAGCCAGGGCTCCAGGCACGCTTCTGATGCCAAAGATCATTCACAGTTGCCTTAGATCTTCCAAACAATGCTGCTGTGTGGGACCATTTGTCAGGATTTCTCTTCCTGAGCTCTGGGAACAGGCTTAAAGCAGCCAAATGAGAATCAGCCACTTGGGAGGGTCATTGCTGCCTGTCCCCACAGGCAGCACAGGAACGGGACATGGAATGTGTGGATGGGCTGAGCTGCTCCCCAGCTGCCTCCAAGGACGTGCCATGGACCTGAGGAAGGGGATAGAAAACAAAGGGAAACATGATGGGAAACAAAGCTGCTGCCTTGGGCTTCTGCTCCAGAGACAACTGTTGACGTGTTGGATGTTTTTCCCTCTCTACCCTCTGTGCTAAAGCATAAAATGTCATTTTTGGTACTAAAACAGACCCTTTGAAAACTAATTCCTGCGTAAAAGAGTCGGTTGGGCTAGAAAAAGATCAGAAGTGCTGAGAGAGGATCTGGAACTGTGTGTCTAATGTCCTGGGCTGGGATTTGGTTCCTTGCTGACTGTGTTTTGTGTCACAGGGGCTTTAAACCATCTGTTGGGCACCGCTGTGCTGGTGTGTGGGATCCTGCTCCTGAGGGGGTCCTGCCCTGTATTCTCCTTGTGTTTCTCTCTTCCAGAACGTTGCAAATGGCCTTTTGTTGCCCAAGAAGGAAGAGTTTGCGCTGGCCCATGGAAATCGGTTCTCCAAGCATATTGCTTGCTCCTACTGTTGCCAAATGACTGCGCTCCAGGAATGTATTTGCATTTATTTGCAAAGGCCAAACGTGCTCCACGGCGGGAATGTCCTCGGCCTCTCCCAGCGCTCCGTGGGAAAAGCAGCTGTGGGAATCCAGGCTCAGGGGTGGCGGGAGGAGGTTCCGTGTGTGCCGTGGCCAGAGGACTCGTTACATCTCGCGTCAGTGTCTTGTGACGCCGTTCCCTGTTCCTGGGAACAGCCCTCCCAGCACTGCTGTTCTGTGTTCCTGGGGTCAGGAACAGCCCCCCTGGTCCTGCTGTTCTGTATTCCTGGGGTCAGGAACAGCCCCCCTGGTCCTGCTGTTCTGTATTCCTTGGGCTAGGAACAGCCCCCCTGGTCCTGCTGTTCTGTATTCCTGGGGTCAGGAACAGCCACCGTGGTCCTACTGTTCTGCATTCCTTGGATTGGGAACAGCCACCCTGGTCCTGCTGTTCCCTATTCCCCGGGTGGGGAACAACCCTCCCTACTGTTCTGTATTTCTGGGGTTGGGAACAACCATCTTGGCCTTGCTGTTCCCTAATTCCAGGGTTGTAAACAGTAATCCTGGGCCTGTTGTTCCTTATTCTCACTGTTGGGATCAGCCATCCTGGTCCTGCCATTCCCTGTTCCCAGGCTCAAGAACAGCCGCCCTGTCCCTGCTGTTCCCAGGGTCAGGAACAGCTGCCCTGTCCCTGCTGTTCCCAGTTCCCAGGGTCAGGAACAGCCGCCC